TGGCAGGAGCTGCAGCAAACTGACAGTGTCTGCTTGATTTGACCAGTACTCTGCCTGGGTCACGCTCATGGGTATGCTGCTGCATTGAAGTTCTCTCTGTTTCTCTGTTTTTAATTAGATAATTCATTCAGAATAATTTTTCTTGAGTTATACTGACAGCCTTTCTTACGGTTCTAGGCTGCCAAACTTTTTGATGAAGAAGGAAGGAAAAAATTCTTTACACAGGATATGAATAATATTCTTCTGGAGTAAGTAATCTTTTTACATTTTACTTTCTTTGCCAGGGTGGGGAGTAATGCTGGTGATTAAACCCAAGCACTTCTCACTGAGCTACATCCTCAGGCCCTGCCCCCCAAGTTTTTGGAGAAAGGGTCTCGCTAAGTCATTTGTTGCCTAGGCCAGGTTCACATTTGAAATCCTCTTTCCTCAGCCTCCCACTATGTTGCGATTGCATGTGTCCACTACCACAGCTAGTCTTAGTTTTCTTATTTTATTAGAAGACCTTAAGAATTGCAGTTTAAAGACAGAGTAGTCCTGTGAGATCCAGATGCTGAGTGCATGGCTGCTTCAGGCATCAGCTCTTCTCTTTCACCCTTACATTGTGTGTGGTTAACATTTGCTTCTCAGCAGAACAATGCGTCTGTAGATACTGGACCACTCAGTGGTAACCAAAGCTTTTGGGAAGGTGACAGGAGTTAGATTGGGAAAGAGAAGTATACAGTGATATATAATGCAGATTGTACTTAAATTAGCAGATTTTTACCTAAGTTAGCAGTAATTTTGCACTTGGACTCAGATGCTAATCAGGCTGTAGGTTCTAAGGTCGTAATCAGATCAGCTGTACTTGTTACTCTTGACTCACAGACTTTGGCCAATGGTAACAGGAATGCATTATACAGTTGGCTGTGGGCCGAACTAAGCAAAAATGTGGTCATGGGGAAAGCAGCAGTTCTATTCCTCAGGAAAACCACCTAATATGGTGGCTCATTGCATCAGACAGACTCCGGAAAGAAGTGTTCTGAGACTGGGATTCCCACCTCATACATACTCATGAGTACAAAGGACAGAATGGTTCATTAATTCTGATGACTGTGGTAATTAATTATAGTCAGTCATCTTGGACTCAGAAGACACACAGCGCAGTGTTTCTAGTGTGCCGACAATCGGAGGTTCTCGTTCCCTTTCTTCTTCACTTTAGCCAGCGAGTTAGGGTGAGGCGTGTCTGCCTGGGAGCCAGCAGATGCTTCCTGTCTGCACTGCTGCCTTTCTCTGTGCCCCTTTTATGCCTCAGACTCAACAAACAGTGCAGTTGTTACTTATCAAAGCTGTCCTGGATTTCACAATCACAGATCTGACCAGCTCTTTTTCTTTGTACCTGAGACCACTAAATGTTGTAGCTCAGCTCTTTCTCTTGTGACTGAGAGAGTTTTGTGGGGTTTTTTTCTTCTCTGTAACAGAGAACACTCTTTCTCCCCTGGGAGACCTGAGGCCCATCCTCAGAACGTAGCCTGTCAGATAAGCATGCAGTAGCCTCCCTCTAGCAGCTTCTCCGCTCACCCCCTTGATGCATGTGTAGAAAAGCGCACCGTGAGGTGCTGGGACCCAGTCTCCTTCCATTTCACAGGAGGTGTGACTCAGTTCTCAAGCTCTTAGTGTCAAGAGGACTTTTTTCTTTCCTTTTTTAAAAATTTTTATTTTATTGAGAAGACTTTTCTTAGTTGCTGTGTTATTCTGTCTTTCCAGTTTCATTTTTTCTCCTTCCACTTTACTGAGCTCACATGCCTTACTTTTGTGGACTGAATTGTTTTGCTAAGGGTATGTGATGATTATTTGGGATACAAAATTAAATTATTCAATTAAATTGGGTCTGCCTCACCACTTTGGGAGAAAAAGAGATTAGTTTATTAGAATAGCAAACCCTTTTTCTTTTTGTATAATCAAAGTTGACCTTAGTCAACAAATATACACTATACTGACTTGATTTCCCCTCCTTCCTTAAAGCTGATAGATATTGCTGAGAAAACATTGCTTGTAACCCCAGCCACATAACAGTTCTGCTCAACAGGTTGCTCTAGGCCTGCCTCACCACCCTCCTGGACACTTACGCTGGGGCCTGCCATCTTGGCTAAATACTCCTTTACAGAGCTCTTGAGCAAGTAGTAACTTCGACTGTCAGCATGGAGGGACTTAACAGAGGTTTCTTTTCATGAAGTCAACTCTTCCTATGTCTTAGTTGCATCTTACGAAACCACTGGCTTTTATAAGCAGGTCATAGGCAGTCTGTCCTTACCTAAACTCTAAATACTTGGAGTTTCTATTTTATTTTCAGCCTTCACTAACTTCCAGTCACAAGGAAGCCAAGAGGGCTTTCTACCCAGAATAGACTTTTAGTAAAGACCTGACCATATCATGTTACCTAGCCAAAGTTTCCACAGAGAAGTAATGACCATAGTGATTGTTTCCCATGTAACTATCTTGTTCTTATAGATCTTTTGCTTTTTTTTCCCATAATTTTATTGAGAAACAAATAGCAATGAGACAGTTTCAAATCAAATTGGTAGGACAGTTTCAATAATTAACACTGCATACATTCTTCCTAGTGGTTAATTGCTGTACAAGATGCGGACATGATATCCTATTTACAAACACCATTAGAGCAAATCCCTCTATTTATTAAGAGAATTACTATATATCTATCCTAACCACTTTGAATACACAGATACAAAATGGACATTCATCTGTATACCCTTTTTTTGTTACGTTCCATTATTTGACTATTACAGGTGTGTAAACTCAGCAAAATATTCTAAAAGAGTTCAGTAGCCCATAATAGTATTGGGTCTTCCGCTTGACTGGCAATGTCAGACATTGTTGACCTGAGTCCCCTACAGCTCAACATAACAGCATGGCTTTACTTCTTATATTTCATTTTTATACTTTTCTGCTGGATGGTTAAGACCAAGGTAAAGCAGGACCTATGCAACAAGAGTTGTAGCTTTTGGGTCTGATAAGGTCAGTGAAATCCCCTCAGGATTTATCCTGAGATCCTGTACCTCAGATTGTAGAACCTTTGTCAGTGGATCTTTTGCTTTTTGAGATAGGGTTTCACTATGCAGTTCAGGCTGGCCTTGAACTTGTGTCGGTCCTCCTGCCTCAGCTCCTGAGAGGATTACAGGCCTGCACCACCAGGCCTGGCTCTTACAGGTCTTCAGCTTTTTTTTTTAAACATTTATTTATTTATTGTGTGTGTGTGTGTGTGTGTGTGTGTGTGGCCAGCTCAGCCCACCAGGGGGCAGGGCTGGCTGGCATGTGGTGCTAGGGGATCGAACCGTGGTCCCTGTGCTTTGCCAAGCTTGTTCCATGTAGGTGCTTTAGACCACTGAGCCATCTCACCAGCCCCAGGTCTTCAGCTTCTTGCTATTTTTAATTTTCTTATAGCTTCTCTAACATCAAGAATTTTCTGTCCCTATTTCTAAGGACCATAATTTTCTACTTCTCTCTTTTTCTGAAATGGCAATATATCTTAGAAGTGATGGACACAGAGATAGACTCAGCGACTGTAATGTCTGTGATCCTAGCCCTTGCGAGGCTTAGGCAAGGCAATTATGATGAGTTCAAGGCTAGCTTTAGCTACATAGCTTGGAATATATAATGAGACCACATCTCACACATACATACACACACAGATACGTTTGGTATGATAGGGTTTCTTTTATTCTTTAGCCATATCTTACATTGGTGAGAAGTACTTGAGTTCATCTGTGTCCTCTCCCATAACACAATATAATAATTTTGATATAATTCATTGCCAGGAACCCCTCATTTGATCTTGGCCTTCAAATTAATATTTTCTTATCTTCCTGCAGTAGACGCTTCAAAATATGTCTCTTGTTTTGGACAACACCTCAGTTATTAATATATTTGTCCTGCTGGGAATTAAGAAACTATTTTGTGTTAGGCTAGTTACCTACTTAATAATTTATTTTCTGTCTCAGAAACCTAATTTATAAAAGGAAATGGGAACTAGAAAATTACAATATATTTAAACTATTAAAAATAAGCTGTGTAATACAGTCGCATGAAGGTTAACAAAGGTGGATAAAATAGTTACATATACCAAAGGGACCTTAACCTCTAAGTCTTTACTTTTTTCAGACACCTCTAAGGAACACTGTAGGAACTCTGCAACTGTGACTTTTACTTGCCTGCGAATAGAGGAAAGTAGTATGGTATCTCTTTGAAGAGGTGAAAGTTAGGTTAAAATGGAGTTCCTGTGTTTTACCTGAAAACATAGACTATTTATTTTTTATTTTATTTATTTTTGTGTGTATTTAGGACAGGGTCTATGGGGTCTACAGGGTCTCACTATGTAGATCGGACTTGTAGTGATCCTCCTGTTTTCAGCTTCGCAAGGGCAGGGATTATAGGTGCGCGCCAGCACGCCCAGTCTCAGTCCCCATCTCAGTGCACCCTGGGGGAGGGGCCAGCTCAGCATGCCTGCAGTCAAACCCCAGCTGCTGCACTCTGCCTAAGCAGGCATGTTAGTCCGCTGAGCTATTTGGCTGGCCCTTGAAAACATAGACTTTAACCTGTCAACAAAAACGCAATGTCGACTTGTTCATGGTCATATAAATTCTCTTTTTAAGCTAGGAGGAGGAAGGAAAGGAATTAAGATGTCTTATATACATGTACCAAATCCATATATGTATAACCATATACTGCAAATATGCATGAATAAAAAACTTTAAATTGGGGCTGGAGAGATGGCTCAGTGGTCTAAAGCACCTATTTGGAACAAGCTTGGAAAAACACAGGGACCGCGGTTCGATTCCCCAGCACCACATGCCAGCCAGCCCCGCCCCCTGGTGGGCTGAGCTGGCCACACACACACACACACACACACACACACACTAAATAAATGTTAAAAAAAAATTTAAAAAAAACTTTAAATTAAAAAACCTAGGCCACAAAAAGATAAATAAAAGGTGAAAAAGAGACTGGGTGTGGTGACACGTGTCTATAATCCCAGCACTTGGGAGGCTGTAAATAGGAGAATCACTATGAGTCGCATCTAGTAGTGAGACCCTGAACACCCTGTAGACCCTTCCCTAAAATGGCAGAAGAAAAAAAAAAAAAAAACTGGGCCCAGTGAGATAGCTTAATGACATAACCACCTGCATGGTAAGTGCAAGGTCCTGAGTTCAAATCTTGGCATGAAAAAAGACTTTAAAAATTGATTCATACAATATTTTCTACAGCATTGCTATTTGTTCTTCAAGGGGTTTATTTCTTTGAGAAGTACTATTTAGGAATCGTAAGAACATAAATTTAAAACGAAGCTGCCTTTGCCAGCTTGTTTGTGTGTTCCACCCAAGAGGAAGCCTTGTTCATAATTGTTAAACTTTGCGTTTTTTGGTCAGCATTGAGTTACAGCTCCAAGAGCTGGGCCCGGTCATCCGTAGCGGCGTTTATGCTCATCTTGAAGCTTTTGTGCCGTGCAATAGAGAAACACTGGTGAGACGCCTCAAGAAGTTGCACCTCCATGTCCAGGTAGGAAGAGGGCAGACGGCACCTGCACCTGGGACTTCATAACCTACGGAAGGAAGAAAGTTGTTTCTTTTTGGGCTCTTTGTGCTGAATTGCTTGAGAGAGAGAGAGAGAGAGAGAGAGAGAGAGAGAGAGAGAGAGAGAGAGAAGTTAGTAATGAGAGGGAATTATTAAAGGCATTCTGTATCCCCTAAAAAAGTTGCTTCAACAATGGATGGCTTTAGCCTAGTAGTGCTTCCTAAGCCGTAGGTTCTTGGACTGGTAAGTTGGCAGAGAAAGTAGGATCTGACAAGCATAGATTCTTAATGTAGGCATTTACTTCTGTTAAGAAAATACATCATCCCAACTGAGAAACTACAGGTTAATGAACATCTTAAATCTGTTGATGTCTTAGGTTTTGTGCATTTGCCTGGCTCCTTTAGATATTGGCAATTGGAACTTGCTGCTGTAAATTCAAATGATACCTGTAATTCCAGCTTTGGGAAGCTGAGGCTGAAATGCAATAAATTTTGAGACAGGGTCTTGGTAAATTGCCTGGGCTTGGCTCAAATGTGAGCGTTCTGCCTCAACCTCCCAGAGTGCTAGGTCCATAACCATGAGCCACCACACCCAATTCTATATAGTTTTGTTTTGGTTCTTTTCTGTATTTAGGACAGGGTCTACAGGGTCCCATTATGTAGATCAGACTCATAGTGATCCTCCTGTTTTCAGCCTCCCAAGTGCTGGGATTACAGGCATGGGCCACCACACCCAGTCTCATTCACTGTCTCAGCACACCCTAGGGGCGCGGCTGGCACGGCACAGTATGCCTGTTATCCAACCCAGGTCCCAGCACTCTGCCTAAACAGGAGGTTTAGTCTGCTGAGCTATCTGGCCAACCCTAATTCTATATAGTTTTATCACATAGTTTATGACCCTAAACATAACACTGTTTAGTTATGCATATTGAACTTTTTTTTTTGTCTGTGTGACAGTGCAGGACCTTGCCCATAGTAGGAAAGCATTCTAACAGTGAATTGGTGTCTCTATCACTTTTATTTTTTATTTTGAGGCAGATTCTCACTAGTTGCCCAGCCAGCCTTGATTTGTAATCTGTCTGTTTCAGCCTCCCAGTAGCTGGGATCATCCAGCCTGGTGGTGCAGACCTATAATGCCACCACTCAAGAGGCTGAGGCAAGATGATCACTGTAAATTTGAAGCCATCCTGAACTACAAAGTGAGTTCAAGCCAGCTAGAACTATATAGCAAGACTCTTATCTCAATAAACAAAAAAAGGGGGAGGCTGATATTATAACAAACACTATCATAATTGCTTAATATTTGTTAGTATGCATGGAGTAGGCTTAAATACTTATTAGTAATAATATATTTGTGTTCTAAAAATCTTGTCTTTTTTTTTTCTACCACCCCACTAAAAATCTTGTCTTTACCGAAAATCACAGTTTGTGGCTGAGGGTGTAGTTCAGTGGTAGGACACTTGCCTATCGTACACAGGCCCTGGGTTTAATTCTCAGCATTAGAAAAAAAAAAAAAAAAACACAAACATTGCTCTTCAGTGAAGAAAAGCAAAATCTAACAATATTTATGTACCTATGATGGTACTGACAGTATATTTGAAGTAGTTAAACATACTATGTTATTAGCAAAATGAAATGAGCGATTAGAACTGTTAGCTGGAAGCCTTTTACCCTGAGTCCATCTGGGTAACAGTCTCCCAGTTTCCTCTCTCACCTTGGCCTGGAACTTGCATATTTCTTTGCAGCGTAAGTCACGGAGAGCAGACTACCAGCTCCCTGCTGGTGCTGCCCACCACACTATGTGTTCTGGAATCCCAGAGCAGGGTCTTCTTTGGGTGGTTCTTCTCCACCATAATGAGGATTAACCAGCAGTCTACATAATGAAAATTTTATCCTGTGTTTAATCATTTGTGAGAGCTGGCCAAGTAGCTCAGCAGATTAAAAGGCCTGCAAGCAGGCAGAGGGACTGAGGGCTCAATCAGATTGAGACTAAGCATGGTGGCACACGCCTATAATCCCAGCTCTTGGGAGGCTGTAAACAGGCAGATCACTATGAGTCCGATCTAGTAGTGAGACCCTGACCACCCTGGAGACCCTTCACTAAAATACAAAAAAAAAAAAAAAATCATTTGTATTATAAGGTGTCACGTAATATATTGGTTAAAACACAAGCCTTCTTCAAGAAAAGAAACCTTATTAATGATGTTGCGAGGGCAGCAGGCAAACACCAGGACTCTCCTTGGCTGAGGAATGTGGCCATCCAAATTGTTCATCCAGTGTATGTTATAAAGTGAGTGCTGGAGGAGAAATGTCCACATTTAGATAGCTCATATTTCAAATTTATAATCAGTATCTTAAACATAAATTGTACCTTTTGAAAATTTGTTTATAGAATAAATCTTGATAAGATGTAATTTTTTTGTCCCTCAGGATGATCGTTTAAGAGAGCCTCTGCAGAAACTGAAATTGGCTGTTAGCAATGTCATGCCTGAACAGCTGTTTAAATACCAGGAGGACTGCCAGGCGCGTAGTCAAGCTAAGTGTGCCAAGTATGTGCTGCTTCTGTCTGGGTGGGCTGTGGGGTTGGAGAATCAGGCCCAGCTGCTGAGGGGTTGGTTGTGAGTGGCCCCCATCCTCATGTAGAAGCCCCCGCAGACAGCTCAGATAGCAAGCGCAACGTTTGCTAAATGGCATGTTCCTCCCCACTCAGTTACTTCTGTTTCAAAGGCAGACGGCTTTGTCTGTTGATTTAGTGCATGGATGTGATCCAAGCAAGAGCCAGCACTGGTAAAACATTTTACTTACTGACCAGCTTGGGCCAGACGCAAATATTTTGACCTAAAAGATGAGTGTGCCTTTTATGAGAGTTTTATAAAGCTGCTTTATAATTCATTCCAAATTCAAAGTATTATGTGCAGAGATAGCTTCTCTTGTCTTTTGAGCTAACATTCATCTAAGTCAGCAAGTATTTTTGAAGCATTACAGGCAGTGTTGGGTTAAAGCTTCACTTCATAAAATACTTCCTAGGTTGCAAACAGATGAAGAGCGAGAAAAAAACGGATCAGAGGAAGATGATGATGAGAAACCAGGAAAGCGAGTCATAGGACCAAGAAAGAAATTCCACTGGGACGACACCATTAGGTGAGATTTTGGCAGTCTTGACCTTTAACCAGATGCACAGCACTAGAGTTTCGTAGAAGGAATTGGTGAACAGAAGCCTGGCTTCCATGGGACCGTTAAACTTTAGTGTTTAGGAAACATGTATTCAAGTGCACATTGGTCTGGTCTTACATCTGTCCTTAGAGTGTGAACACTTTTATTTTCATGTGCTATTTCTTACTGATAATTTAAGAATAAATTATATTGGTTTCAGAAGGTAAAGCACTCTACTGTTTTTTATAAACCAGCTGTCTTATCAGTGATTCTGTACTCCACATGGATAATTATTCCTTTTGATCCTTGATATATTGAATAAAAGTAGCAAGCAGAATTATTTCATGTTGGGAGGTTTGTAGTACAATGAATAATGAATGTTAGAAATCAATTATTTGCTTATAATTATATGAATTCTTCACATATTACTACTGTCAGATTTGTGTGCTTATTTAAAAATTAATTCAAACTTAATTTTTCTCAGTGTTGTCGTCAGATTTATATACAGTTTATATAACTTATGTAAATTGTGTATATAAGACTACAAATAAAACATACGTATATTTTAAACTCTTTTTAGATCTTTGTTGTGTAACCTGGTTGAGATCAAATTGGGATGCTATGAATTAGAGCCAAATAAAAGCCAGTCTGCTGAAGATTATCTGAAATCCTTCATGGAGACAGAGGTGAAGCCCTTGTGGCCTAAGGGCTGGATGCAGGCAAGGTAAGACTCGTGACTTCTGGATTGTTTTATCTTTTTATTACTACTGTTATTCCTGTTCCCCATGCATGCAAGTATGCATATGATATTGATTTTGATACGACGTCAGTGTGTTGAGCATTCTCTGTAGTATCTCAGGTGTTCTCTGCTTTGCAAGCCAAAAGCACTTTAAAAGACAAAAGCCTGTGGGCACAGAAATAAAGACCTAGACATAATAGTAATTAAACGCGGTGGCACACTCGCACTCTGGGAGGCTGAGGCTGGCAAATTCCTAATTAGAGCCCAGCCTGAGCAACTTTCAATTTTGTGAGATTCTATTTCAGAAAATCTTTTTTACTGACTGCTTTTTTGTGTTGAATTTGTAGGTAGAGAAAAGCGGAGAAGGAAAGATGGTTATAAACTTTGAGGAATAATGTATATGAGGAACTTAACATAGGATCTAGAGCATAGAAAAAAGTTCCTGTAGAAACTCTTAGGATCTCTAGAATATAGTGTAGTCAGTATCTCAAGTGAAGAGTGATCCTATTTAAAGTCTCAAGAATTTTAAAAGTGTAACAATAAACTTGACTATTTCAACCCATTATTTAAAAAGTGCTCCATTTTAATCAACAAAAGACCTTTATTAATGATCGTTTAAATATTTCAAATAGAGTAATATGAAGCTGCATAAAATAGTATAATCTGTACTTGGTAAGTAAACAAGCAGTAGCCTATTGAAAACCAAAGGGCCAGCCAGATAGCTCAGCAGGACTAATGGCTCTTGCTCAGGCAGAGTGCAGCAGCCGGGTTGGGTCTCGTGCTGTGCGGGCCCCGCCCCCAGGTACACTGAGACTGCCATTGAGATTGAGACAGCGTGGTGGTGCACGCCTGTAACTCCCCCCACCGTGGGAGGCTGAAAACAGGAGAATCACTCCGAGTCCAATCTGTGTAGTTTGACCCAGTAGTCCCTGTACTAAATACATAAAAAGAAAAGAAAATCAAAGGACTTTAAAAAATAAACCAGCCAGATATGGTAGCACAAACCTATAATCCTAGCACTCAGATGGCTAGGATGACTGCAAATTAAGGCCAGCCGGGGCTACACAGTGAGTTCAAGGCCAGTCTGATCTACACAGTGAAATCATATCTTTTTTTTTTTTTTTTTTTAATGAGCAGAATATATTTATTGAGAGAAAGAAAGCTCCTGTCCAAGAGAGGGACAGAAGGGGGGTCCGAGCAGTTAGTTCCCCCCCGTGAAATCATATCTTTAGAAAAAAAATAAAAAGTAAAGCAGTTATAATGTTATTACCTACTATAGAAGATAATTTTGTCTTTTTAATTTTCAGAATGCTTTTTAAGGAAAGCCGCAGTGTACATAATCATCTTACTTCTGCTCCGTGAGTAAATGCAGACTTCATATTTCTTCATTGTTATTTACGTTACAGCTTTAGAAAACAAAAATATCATGTATCAAATGCTAGTTGAAGTACAATTTAAAAATATACTTTGGGAATCTCCATTTTATCTTTTTTTTTTTTTTAAACAGTCATTGAATCGTACCTGTCAGAGCACATCTATAGAGGCAGTTCTCAGGCTATTCTGCAAAACCTCATCTGTCCTGAAGGAGCCCCCCGGGTTCTGGTGCGGGGAGCTGTGGGCGTAAGCAGCCTCTCCAGCTTCCCTTTGTTCTTGGCCTTTGGCACTCCAGTGTTGTAGGAGTTTTGTGTGGCACCCCTGTCATCTGCCTGGGTGACCTATGTCCTACCCCAAGCTCTACAGGACTCTTTTGCAGCTACCTGCTTTGGCCTGGGGAAAGATGGTAGTCTACAGAATAGCCTACTCTTAGCTGTCTCCTCTGCCAGAACTGATGTTTTCTTCGTGAGATAATTTTTTTTCTTCCTTTCTGTGCTGGAGTTTAAATCCAAGCCTAGCACATGCTAGGCAAGCGCTCTGCCACTGAGCCGTACCCTAGCCCAGTAAACTGAAAGAAAGATCTCACTTCCTCATGTATAGGAAAAGGGCATTTTTGTCAATTGTTGGGAGTTTTTTGTGACTTTTTGTTTTGTTTTGTTTTGTTTGTTTTTTGGTGGTACCAAGGATCAAATTCAGGACCTTGCGCTTGCCAGGCAAGCATTTATTCCACAGAGCTATCTCCCTGGCCCCCTTTTGGTGACCATTGGTGAACTCCAGTTTTATTTTTACCTGCAAATTAGGACTTCTCTTAAGCTGGGCATGGTGATACACACCTGTAATCCCAGCAGTGGGGAAGCTGAGGCAGGAAGATCACTGAGTTTGAAATGAGCCTAAACTACAAAGTAAGCTGAAGGCCAGCCTGAAGTGCAAAGTGAGACCCTGTTTCAAAAAAAAAAGGACTTCTCTAAAGCCTACAAGCATAATATTAAAGAATTATTAAAATATAAAAGCATTGGATTAGTGAGAATATAGAGTGCTGTCATGTAGTATTCTCCTAAGACATCTGATTAGTATCTTCAGGTACTGTTACATAATTTGGGGAGGTGAGGAGGGAGAGGATAAAAACACCCGGTATGTTATGTACGTGGACCTGTGCTCTAGGAGGAATGTAAACGTATACTGCAGATGCATGCTAATAAACATGGTTTTTATTCATCCTTTCATAGTTACAATAGATGGAATGCTTTAGTTTTCAGGAAGGGTATGTCACCAAGGATCTGTTAAATTGAGTGCAGTTTTTGGTTCTTAGTATTCTTAGATTCATTTTTGGTTTTGAGATGGGATTTCACATTGCTCAGGCTGGTCTTGAGCCCCAGAGCTCTAGTGACCCTCCCGCCTCTAGAATAGTTGGAATTATAAGGGCCAGCCAGATAACTCAGCAGACCAATGTACCTGCTTAGCCAGACGCAGGGACGGGGGTTTGATCCCCAGCCTGCTGTGCCAGCGTCGCCCCTGGGGCATGCTGAGCTGGCAAATGAGGCTGGGCATGATGGTGCATATCTGTAATCCCAGCACTTGGGAAGTTGAAAAACAGGATCACAACAAGTCTGATCTGTATAGTGAGACCCTGTAGACACCCTATACTACATTAAAAAAAAAAAAAGTTGGAATTACAGGCATGAACCACAATGCTTGGCTCTTTAATTTTTTGGTAGCTTGGTTTCATACATCATAATTTATATATGCAAATTCAAGTAGCTATATGTGTTTGCATGTGTGTTCTGTCAGTAATTATGACCTTCAATCACCTTGAAATTCTAAAGTCATGTATGCATTATAATTCAGGTATAACTCATGTTTTTAATCCCAAAGGCATTCATTTATTTACTTCATTATTTATTTATTTGGTGCAGGGTCTCGCTACACAGCTTGAACTGGTAGTGATCTTCTTGCCTTAGCACCCCCAGTGGTGGGATTACAGGCGTGCAGCACCACACCTGGTTCTGGGGCTAGCACAGCATGGGGTACCAGGGATTGAACTCAGGTCCTTGCGCTTGCCAGGCAGGCACTTAGATCTCTAAGCTATCTCCCTAGTCTAATGGCATTTACTTTATTTTTTATTTTTTCTAATGGCATTTACATAAGATATTTACTTCAGCTTTTTTATTCCTTTGAGGAGCTGAGACTACAGGAATATGCCGCCACACCACACCTAGTTCCCCTAAACTTTTTTTTTTTGTAACTGGGAATTCAATTCAGGACCTTGCACTTGGCTAGGCAGACACTGTGCCAATGTGCTACCTCATTGGCTCTCCCTTCAGTTTTTAAGAACGGCCTCATCAGGTGTGATGTCATATACTTGTAATCCCAGCCACACTCAGTAGGCTGAGGCAGGATTGCCATGAGATCAAGGCCAACCTGAGTTACATAGTTCAAGGCAGCCTGACCTACATAGTGAGACCCTACTCAAAAAAAAAGAAAAATGCAAATAACAAAAACTGTAAACATAATAATGATTAAAAATAAATCCTGGGTTTGTTACTATAATTTTTTTTTAAAAAATTGGAATTTTTAACTGGAATGTTGGGATGGGTACGCATGAAGGTCTTTTGCTCTACTGGCTTTGCTAAAAAAAAAAGTTGAAATTTCCCTGTTGCTTTTTTAAATCCGTTTGTTTTTGTTTTTGTTTTTTTGAGAGGGGGTGCTTTTTGAGACAGGGTCTCCCTACGTAGTTCAGACTGGCCTTGAGCTCATTTTGTAGCCCAGGCTGATCTCGGGCTTGCAAGGATCCTCCTGCCTCAGCTTCCCAAGAGCCACCACACATAGCATGATTGCGGGTTACTACAGTTAGAGACTTGGTGCATGTACAGAGCGCATCTTAACTGTTCTCTTTTTTCATCCTCTACCCTTCCCCTCCCTCTCTGATCCTTCCAACTCTTATTCCCCTTCTCATTTGCAAAAGCTCCGTTTCCATCCCTTTTGCCCCTTCAATACTGTGTCTTTCCATCCCGTTCCCTCTCCCTTACGTCTTGTTTCCCTGCCTATGTAAGAAAGACATCCGTACTTGCTATATGTCTTCTAACTTGTGTGTGTGTGATTTGTTTCTCATATAAAAGAAACCATGGGATGATATTTAAGCTTGCATATCTGCCCTATTTCATTTACTATTATGGTCTCAAGTTGTATTCATTTACCTACAAATGCCTCACATTTGTCTTTCTTGGGACAGAGTGGTACTCCATTATGCAAAATAACATCTTTAACCATTCATCTGTTCATAAGTATATAGGTTATTTTCAAGAGTTAGCTATTACTGGGCTGGCCAAATAGCTCAGCAGATTAAAGTGCCTGTTTAGGCAGATGCAGGGGCCAGGGGTTCAATCCCTGGGCCTGCTGTGCCGGCCCTGTCCCTGGGGTGCGCTGAGAGAGGAATTGAGACTGGGCATGGTGGGTCGTGCCTGTAATCCCAGCTCTTGGGAAGCTGAAACAGGCGGATGACTACGAGTTCAATCTGGTAGTGAGACCTTGAACACCTGGTAGACCCTTCCCTAAAATACAAAAAAAAAAAAAAAAGAAAAAGTTAGCTATTTCATAAATTATTCTGCTACAATCATGAGTATGCATGTATCCTTGTAATCAAGTGTCTTTAACTCTTAGAAAGATACTGAGAAAAGAAATAACTGATGTAAATGGAATTTGTTTTTAGTTTTTTGAGAAATGTCCACACTGTATTAAATAGTGGTAGTACTAGTTTACATTCCCACAGAGTGTACAAGGGTTCCTTTTTCCTGACATCTTTGTCAGTGTTTATTACTTGGTTTCTTTTTTTTTTTTTCTTTGTATTTTAGAACAGGGTCTACAGGGTCTCACTACGTAGATCAGACTCATAGTGATCTACCTGTATTCAACTTCCCAAGTGCTGGGATTACAGGCGTGCGCCACCACACTCAGTCTCGATCTGGTCTCAGCATGCCCCGAGGGCAGGGCCAGCGCAGCATGCCAGAGATCAAACCCTGTTCACTGTATCTGCCTAAGCAGGTGCTTTAATCAAATGCTGAGTTATTTGGCCGGCCCTATTTAGTTTCTTGATAATAGCAATTTTTTTCCTAGAGTAAGGTGGTGTCTACTGTTTTAATTTGCATTTCTCTAGTAGCCAGCTATATTGAGCATTTTTTGATGTATTTATTGTCCATGTGTACTTCTAGGAAGTGTCTATTCATTTCAGTTGTCTTTTTTTAATGAGTCTGTTATTTTTGGGGAATCTGGGTTTTTTCTGTTTGTTTTGGTTTTAGTTTTTTGTTTGGGGGAATTTTGTTGTTGTTGTTGTTGATTTTGTTTTGTTTTTTGTTTGGTTCTGTGTATATTCTAGATGTTAATTCTCTGGTGAGTACTTAGCCAAATTCTTTTCTCGGGGCCGGGGAGATGGCTCAGTGGAATAAGCGCCTCCCTGGCAAGCGCAAGGGTCTGAGTTCAATCTCCAGTTCTGCCAAAAAAGAAAAAAAAATTTATTTTCTCATTCTGTAGTTTCTCTCTACTATGTTGGTTGTCCCCTTTACTCTGCAGATACACTTTAATTTGGTATGATGCCATTGATGACTTGGTATTACTTCTTGTGCTATTTGTGTTCAGTTCAGAAAGTCTTTGCCAATGCATATGTCTTGAAGAGTTTTACCTATCATATCTTCCAACAGATTATTTCTATTAGCATTTAGATCTTATATCCATTTTGATTTTAGTTCAATAAATGGTAAAACAGATGAGTCTAGATTCAGTCTTTTTTTTTTTTTTTTATTTGTGTGTGTGTGTGTGTGTGTGTGTGTGTGTGTGGCCAGCTCAGCCCACCAGGGGGCGGGGCTGGCTGGCATGTGGTGCTGGGGATTGAACCGCGGTCCCTATGCTTTGCTAAGCTTGTTCTAAGTAGGTGCTTTAGACCACTGAGCCATCTCACCAGCCCCTAGATTCAGTCTTATGCATGTGGATAGCC